TTAAATCAGCACAGCCAGCGAAGGATCGAACGCAACTGTTTTGAACAAGCGCACCTTTTTTAACAACCAAAAAGTGGCTGTTTCATTGTCTGTTGAGGAAGTACAGACATCCCTCTCGTTGATAGCAGAGGAGCGGATCCAGCGAGCTTGATGGGGCGAAGCGGAATGAAAACGTTTTTCAGGAGTCGCAGCAGTAGAGGCGGTGCAACTATAACGACATGTGAATAATCCCGCCCACTCTAAAGCGGTACTGAACTGCAGTGGATACGTAAACCAAGCCGTGCCGAGTCGAGTCGTACCACGCAGTGGAAAAGCGCCATAAATGGCATCTCACACTCTCCCCCTAGTGATTTCTCTCGGCCTCCATTCATGCTGTCAGCGGGGGTCGCTCTAATTTCAGCTCAGTTTGTTCTCTCTCACGTGACTGATCATGTGACTCAGGGCTTATAATCTCTTCTTCTGTACCTTGTTTGTGGTCACAGCTGACGGCGCAGCCCAGAACCAGCTGCAGCAGACGACCCAGTTCAGTCAGGACCCCCATCTCAGCGATCAGACACACGTCAGGCACGTGCTCATCAGACACCTGCTGACCCAACACCTGACACACACACACGCTACTAGCCAATAACAGTGTCTTTAATAGGTGCTTTTATTAGGCATTTAGTAGTATTATTAATAAAGTACAGACACTTTATTCGTGGTTGAATAAAACACATTGTGAAGAGTTCAAATAGAACAACAGACCCATTGTGCACATATAATGTATACTTACACACACACAAATGTTTATATTATCAATATTCATGAATATGTGTACAATGGGTCTGTGTTATTTTAGCATCACTGATATACTACTAAAGTTTTTGTTAATATTTTGGATTTTATTTTTATATTTTATATTCTCACTTCAATTTTAATTGTGTTTTAATATATAAATGTATCTAAATAATATATACAGCATTTTCATTTTTATTTACATTTTATTCCTTTATTTAGTTTTATGTTGCTGATTAATGTAGTTTGTGTTATTTTAGTATCAGATATACTACTACAGTTTTAATATTTTGAACTAGATTTAAAAAATTTTTTTCCATTTTCACTTTCATTTGTTGTGCATTTTCTATTAGTAATCCCTATTAGTTTTTTTAATGTCTATATAGCATTAATTTGTTTTTATTTATTTGTTTCATTCATTTATGTAGTTTTAGTTATTGTAATATTCAAATTAAAATAAACAAAAATGAGAAATGTTGCCTTGGCATTGTTTTATTCATTTATCTAGTTTAATAGTTATTGTAGTATTAAATTTTTTTAATTAAAATAGGCAAAAATGAGAAATAATATTTATTTATAATAATAATAATAATAATAACAACAATATATATTATATAGTTACTATACAATATAAAAGTATATATTTTCATATTTTATTAGTTAAATTTACACATTTCACACCCATAAATATTAAAATATACGTTCGTTCCCCCTTGCATCCCCTTTATGGGAACCTCTGGTTCAAAGGTACAAAGGAAAGCAGCTTTAATAGATTTCAATCACACAAAAACATAACTTACATCATGATAATACTCGATCATGCTCTGCAGGATCTTCTTGAGGTTGCTGACCTGTCAGAGAGAGCACATACGTGTTTACTGAGACACACGCACATCCAGTATACTGTACAGAAGACATCTTTACTAGAGAGAAAACTAGTGTAACTACAGTAAAGTACCTTCAGCCTCCAGTTTGTGCCGCCATCCTCTTTTATCCTGCTGAGCCATGTCTCATTAAACCAGGACGAATCTCTGACGGACACAAACAGAACAGAAACGACAGAAGATTAGTCAAACGCAGACATGAAAATTGTATATATATATATATATATATATATAAAAAACGTATGTGGTTTATTTATGTTTAAACATATTTCTTTACATTAGCTTTTGATCAGGGATGAGTGCTGAGGTATTGTCGTTGTAGTTACTCGTCTGGGTTAGTCTTGTATGGTGTGTATTTTTGTTTCTTCATGGGTATTAAGATTTAATTAACTATTATTATTTTTATTTTTAATTGATTTCATTGTACAGCACTGTGGTCAAATTTGTTGTTTTATATTGTGCTTTATAAATAAAGTTGGAGTTTAGGGTCTAATTAAATAAGGAAAAATATATTAAAATAAAAGTTAAACATTTATTAAAATAAATTAATTAAAATAAAAAATAAATTATAAACATGCATTAAAATAAATTAATTAAACAACAAAATAGGGCTGCACGATTATGACAAAAATCATAATTGTCGATTATTCCTTTGAAATTGCAATTGCGATTATTAATTTACGATTAAATGAATGATGTTTACACCTTTGTTTGAAGCAACTGCATGCCATATTTTTATATGAAAATAAACAAGCTGAAAACACTAACTGAATAACTTCTATTGCCTCAAATGTCAACTATACATCGGATTGGTTTCTCTTTAAATAAAAAGGTAAAAATATGCATGGTATTATAATGTTATACTAAAACTAAAATTAAAACAATGGAAAAACCTTTAAGATAACATGTAGAAAGAAAAAAAGCATCTTAAGCATGCAGAATAACATAAGTGGACTTTGAACGATTAATTGCCGCTTTGAACGATTATGTAATTGTGATCGCGATTAGAAATTCGATTAATTGTGCAGCCCTACAACAAAATGAATGAAATTGATTAAAGTAAACATAAAAAATGCATGTGTATGTATTATAGTTCATGCCTACTTTGATATATTAGACCGTTTAGCCCAAAGTAATATCTGTGTACCGAGTAGTTAGGACAGAAAAACATTAAAAGACTGTGATGAGAGGAAAACAGGATATTTATTTAATTAGTTATTTATTCTAGTACATATACAGCAGTGTGTCTCAATAATGAGATCAAAACCAGTAAGTCAAACCACGAGTTGTTTTGAACTCGTATAATCAGTCTGAACTCATTTCAGGACCTTTGGTCAGTTACATAATATGTGTAAATAATTAATTTATTTAAATAATATTTAAATATGTAATTAAAACATTTTTTTTTTAAAGTTTACCCAGAAATTAAAATTTTGTCATCATTTACTCAAGTTTCAAACCTGTATGAGTTTCTTTCCTCTGCTGAACACAAAAGAAGATATTTTGAAGAATGTTGGCAACGTTAAACAAACAGGTGCCGGAAGCTATGGAAGCCCGTTACCTCCACTGAATAAAAAAAATTTAAAAAGGATATTGCTGCTTTGTATCTCGCAATTCTGACTTTTTCTCTCGTATTTAAATAATATTTAAATATGTAATTAAAACATTTTTTTTTAAAGGAGTTTACCCAGAAATTAAAATTTTGTCATCATTTACTCAAGTTTCAAACCTGTATGAGTTTCTTTCCTCTGTTGAACACAAAAGAAGATATTTTGAAGAATGTTGGCAACGTTAAACAAACAGGTGCCGGAAGCTATGGAAGCCCGTTACCTCCACTGAATAAAAAAAATTTAAAAAGGATATTGCTGCTTTGTATCTCGCAATTCTGACTTTTTCTCTCGCAATTGCGAGATATAACCTCGCTATTGCGTGTAAAGCCAGAATTGCGAGATATAAACTCAAAATTTTGAGAAGTCAGAATTGTGAGTTTATATCTTGCAATTCTGAGAATTCTTTATTTCTCAGAATTGCGAGTTTATGTTTCGCAATTCTGACTTTATAACTCGCTATTGTGAGTTTATATCTCACACTTCTGAAAAAAAAAAAGAAGTCAGAATTGCGAGATAAAAAGGTCGCAATTACCTTTTTTTTTCAGTGGCGGAAACGGGCTTCCATACATTGACTTTTCATACTATGGAAGTCAATGGGGACCAGCAATTGTTTGGTTACTCATACTTGGGGCACGTTCAAGCTCAAACAGGTGTGCAACGTTTTGCTACGGTTTCCGGTTTGAACGACATGTTTCCTGGAAACGGTGTGCAACGGGGTTTGAGATGCGTTTTCTCTTGTTTGGTGGGTGTGTCAAACATGTCAGCCCAATCAGCAGCAGCGTGTATATAAACCACGCGGTATTAAAGAGACAGCTCGCATAATGTAATTAACCTCCAAATAAACTCACAAGAGCAAGTATATTGTTTGCACAAGTTTATTTACATTAAAGGCAAAATTACTGAAATAATAAGAGCACAAGTATAGATCTGGAACTTCTTTAAGTCTGTCTAAATATCATTTAGTAATTGCAATGTCTTCTGGTCCATATCCTTTCCTTAGGAAGGTGGCACCACCGTTTCTGTTTAAAACACGTTTTGCACCGTTTTGTCGGGCTGAACGCAGCACAGGCCTACTTATTGTTCTATCACGCTTACATTTCCATCATGCATAATACATTTTGTTGTAGGCTAATTAAGTTAATATGGTCTGTGTCCAGCCGTTCCTAAATGTAGAGAATTCATTAAAATTACAAAATTGTAAAAATGTATACTTACTGAGTTTTCCAGACATGTTTTTAAAAGTAAAAAACAAACAAACATCCAAAACAACACCACTGTGACGCAGACCACTAGATGGAGGCAGCCAATAGCCAAAGTGAACAGATTTAGTGTTATTTTTTTATTATTATTTACTTTACTTTACTTTTACTTTTAGTCATTTAGCAGACGCTTTTATCCAAAGTGACTTACAAATAAGAAAAAGTAATTAAAACTAAAAGCTAAAACTCTATAAATACTATATATATACATTTAAGAAAATAAAAGAAATTAAATAATAATGACAAATGCATACAACAACATTTCAAAACTAAACATTTAAATGAAAAAAAAATAAAGCTAAAAACAATTCAAAATATGAAAAGAAAAAAAGGTATGAGTATAATAATGATTCTAACATAACACTAAGCCAAACACCAAAAAACAACTACATATGTGTATGTACTGCCACACACATATACATATACATTAAATATATACTGTATATATTATTTCATTTCCATTTTGTATGTTGAAGTACTGAAATAACTCAAATTAAATCAAACTAAACCTTAAAAAAACCTGACTAATAAAATGGCAACATTACTACAACTGTAACTAAAACTAAAATAGATAACTAATACAAATCAAAGTACATTAGTTCATCAGTAATCCTAAAAAAATAACACTGAGGCAAACACACATGCTAAAATAACAACAACTTACTGACACATAGTAAGAAATGGTTATAAAAAACTGAAACAGAAGTGAAACAAGTAGTAGGAAAGAGGAGAAATAAAAAGCGATACTTATTTATTATTTTTTTTATTTATTATTATTAAACACTTTCTTATACAAAAGTGAAAAGAAAAACATATGCCAAGAAAGGAAAAGAGCCAAGGGTTCAAGGATGGCCAAACAATACATAGCAATTAAAATTCAGAAGAGAGCGAGATTAAATATATAAATAATAATAAAATAACAACAAAAAAAACAATTACATTAAAAATAAATAAATATATAAATAAATAAATGCAAAAAATTAAACAGATCACATAACAACAAACACAACAATCTTTCCTACAAAACATGAAAATGATACAAAAACAGCAAAAAGTGAGCATACATTTAAAGTTTTAAAAGTCATTATGAAGTTTACAATGAACTGGCAGATGTCTCGCCAAGGTTTTCTCGTATGAACACAATGCCAAAACAGATACAGTTTCTGTTTGTGAGTCGCAGAAAGTTTGACACAATTAAAGGTTTTAACAGCATAGTAGCTTGGAAGCAAAGAATCTCTTTAACTTTATTTACCAATGGATACTTGTTAGGGAGAGTCCAAACCTTTTCCTACAAAATATTTTCCACTAATCTGTCCATTCTGAAGCAGCATGAGGAATGGAAACATAATCATTAAGAAAAAGAAAGCGAATATTTCTGTTATTTTTCAATGTAGATTTAAAAAATGTTCTGCCTACATTCGTGTCAACCGGGTCTGTGAGAGGTATTTCAGAAACTACAAAAACACTATTATAGCCCTTAAATAACATAATGACAAAGTGTTATTTAAGGCTTCATTATGCATTCCTTGTCATCAGCAAGTGGAAGAAATCTGGAAGACAATTAAAATGAATTATAATTACGTGTTTAGTATTGCAGTCAGTGCTAACCCTGCTGGAAAAAAACAAAAAACAAAAACAAAACAAAAAACAGCTAAAACCACACTGTAAAAAAAATTCTGTAGTTTTTACAAAATAATTTTGGCAGCTGTGGTTGCCAGAATAATTTTGTAAAAAATACAGAAAAACTGTAAACACATTTACGGCCAAAAACTGTAAATTTTACAGTATTACAGTTATTTTTTACAGTGCAGCCAAAGCTGGTTGGCAGGTTTAGCAGGTTTAAGCTGGAAGTAGCTGGTCTCCCAGCTAAAGAAGTGGCCAAAACCCCTCTAAAACCTGCCTGCAAACCAAAGGCTGGATGAGATAAACCAGCCAAGCAGCTTAGGCTGGTTTTAGCTGTTTTTCAGCCGGGAAAGTACAAAGCAAATCATCATTATAATGGTGGAAATCTCAAAATGCGTCTAACATTGTGGATAATTCATTATTCATACTTGTCTTGTCTGACACAAATGTGTTTTTAGAACATTTTAATTTTTAGAATAATTATTTTCTTTGCAGACCGATCCCATATAAATGTGTAAATCCCATATAAGCAGCACTTGACATACGACGGCGTTTTAGTGCCACGTTAAAAAATAAAAATAATAATAATAAATATAAGATTAGGAGATTAAAAGTCGTAACATTTGAGAAAAGTCAAAGTCAAAATTAGGAGAAT